GGCCAGCTCTCGCCGAGCCAGTGCCCGCGTCGAGGTGCAGCGCCGACGAAGGGCTGGACGTCCTGCAATCTGCAGACCGCGTCGGCTCGGCGGCACTTGACTGCCACCTTGCCTCGAGCCCGGTCGACAGACATGAGTCCCGGGCCCGCCTAGCCTTCTGCGTCCTCTGTGCTCGGAGGCCTGCGGATCTCCACCTGGTCGCCACCATTGATGCGGCCCTCTCCGGACACGGCGGCGCATGTCCGGAGGGCGCGGCTGACGCGGGAGATGGGCAAAGCTTCAATCACGCGTTGCAGCGCGATCTCTCTGATCCGCCACAGCAACCAGTCGGGCTGCACTTCCCCGCCAGCAAGAGGGTCGGCACTGACAACGCAGTCGCCGAATATCTTTTCCGACTAGTCTGCTTCCGGCGGCGGCGGCATGGCAGGCTGCCCCCCGAAGACGACGCGGCATGGTGCGACGGCGCCATTGCGGGTGAGGCCGCTGCCTGCGAAGATGGCGCGAGCGAGCATCGAGTCGAATTTGGCTGCAATGCCTTTGTGCTCTAGCTGTACCTCTCTGGCGCAAGGCGCATGTCGCAGCGTGGCCTCGCGACGTCCGATGAAACGAGCGCGATGTCGCGGCGCGCGGATATCCACCTGGGCCACTCGCCTTCATCTCCCCCGCAAAATATTTTGAAGGTCGCGTCGCCATCTCCGTCCTCGACGGCCGCCCTCGTCGCGCCGAATTTTTGGATCCGGGGTCGGTCGATGGCTGCCAGTGGCGCCGAGTCACGTTTGGCATCGATCTCCTGGCCGTCGCGCCAAGGCGGGGCGCGGCAGATCAGGCGCGTAAGCGAGCGATCTTTGTAACGAAGTATATCTCACCCAACGTGCCGGTTGAATCGCGTCGGCGCCCGGAGTGCAGGCGTGGTCTGGCGCGCTGGTGGTTGCCTCGTGCGGATTGCGGCATCCCTGACAGTTGTTAACCACAGTGGGTGCGAGGTCACAGATGTCCTTTGGAATGTTAGCTGCGCGCGGCGCTCGCGGCAATTCCTCCCTGGCGGCGCGCCGCCGCCCGAGGTGCAACCTGCGCGGCTCTCGCGCGCGCGTCTCGCGCGAATCATCGCGCAGCGCCGCGGCGACGTCGAAGCGAGCGCAGTCGGAAGGGGTCGGATTGCCAACGGGTGCGCGAGCAGCTCGTTGCGCCACTTGTCTCGGCACTGCCCCTGTGGCCGGGCAGACTCGCAGTCCTGGTCTGGCGGCGCAGTCGCCCGACCCGAAACTTTGCGGCCCAGCAGCGCAATCGACCGAACAGCTGTTTTGAGACCCAGCGCTGGGGGACGAGCTGGCTCCAGGTGCCCCCGAGGGCGCTGGCGGCGGTAGAGAGGCTTCGCCAGCTGCTGCCAAGTCGGCTCCCCCAGGTCTTTGAGCACGCTGGTCGCTGGAATCACGCGGTCCTCCAGGTCGCGCTGGCGCTCGCGGGCGTTTGCCGGCGCGTGAGCGCGGCCTGATTCGAGGGTCGCGATCGCGTCCGTTCCCCTCGCGACTGCCTGGGCGCCCCCAGTGGATAGGAGCACCGCGAGGGCATCGGCGCGCGTTTGGACCCCTGGAGCGCATGGGCGAGTCCGCCCGCGCGTTGCGACTACACGCCTCGCGCGTGTAGCGCGCGCGCTCGGCGGCCATATCACTCCGGATCTGGCCCCCCGTGGCCCCGCGGGCCCCTGCTGGAAAACTGCCTCGGCGACGTCGCATTCGCGAAAGTTGTTCGCCTTATGCGAGCGCATAAGACGGCGACATAACTGCACGATAGCTCGCGCAAGTCTTTCGGCCATTTTCCATGGCCCAACTCGGGCGTCGAAACCGTCGCGGCCCTCGACGCGGGCGCGCCGGCGGTTGTTCGGCCACTTGAGGTCGCAGAATTGCCCGCAGATCCCCGGGGCGTTTGTGGCAAAACCATGGTTTTCCTGCTGATACCACCATGCCGATCGCAGAGTCCGAGGACGCAGTGACCTACGTGGCGAGACTGCCAGGGGCGACCCCTCGATCAGATAACCAACGCGTCGAAGTTCACCCTTTGTGCAAGTTGCGCTGCGTTGGTCGGGTTTGTGAGCTGCGCGTTTGGCACTGCCACCGCGCGCAGGAGGAGGAAGCTGAGACCCTCGTAGCCGATCATGAATTGGCCAGCCTGCTGGGGGCGGGTGCGGAGGGTGTCAAGACGTGTTGGGAGGCTATCGATGCGCTCCCGCGGCAACCGTCTGCAATCCATACGTGCTGAGACTGCTGAGGCGCGCTCCCCCTCGCCCAGTTGGCCCTAACATTCGGCCAAACTGTGCTGCGCCAGCTCCGATGGCCTTCCGCCCGAGCTAGAGATTCCTTAACAGGTGAAGGTGGTGCCAGAGGCCGGGGGCCCACCGACGGCGTTGCTTTGACCATCAGCCTCGGAACCGTCTTGGGTCCCTGCCCCGAATATGTTCCTCTTCGTCAGCGCCTTGGATATCTGCTTTCGACATCCCATAACATACTTGCGGCTCTTCCCGTCGTGCATCGTGACGTTCTGGCGATTGACGCACTCGGGGCATCCCGCAACGTAATTGCGGCTCTGCCCCTCGCGCGCCGTGTCGTCGCTGACCTGAAATGTCACCAGCAGCACGATAGTCGAATGCGCATGAGGGTCTCGTCCTGCTAGTCTGCAAGGAACTGGCGCGCGTGGCGATATGTCACACGCCAAGAGAATGAACACAGATAACTCCAGACCTATTCCACTGTCCCTTCGAGCGATGACAACACACTTGTCCAACACTCCATTGACCCCCCCGTGGCACAAACTCTCATCCGCCTGCATCCCCCGGGTCTCCCGCAACATAGTTGCGAAAAACCTGGAACCATGCGGCCCCGCGAGCGTATGCAACATAGTTGGAAAGCGCCCCTGGTAAGAGGCAGGCAGCGGCGGCGGGTGGGCGCCGCGCCCTTTGAAATTCTTGATGGCGTACTTGTTCTGGTCGATGTCCGCCTCGTCGCTCGTCTTAGCGATCGCGAAGCGGACGAATACGGAGAGCAGGAACACCCACCGGGCTCCTACCGAACACAAAAGAGATGATCGGGAAGAAACCGAAGAGCAAAGGACAGGCGAAATTGCCGCGCGGGCCATGGCGGCAAGAGAAGATGGAAGGCAGCCGAAGCTCCGCTACAAACTATGAGCATGGAGGTTCGACAAGCGGATGCTTTTGTCCCGAGCGGACGTGAATACGGATATAACGCGTCTAACACGGGCACGGAGATTGGCCAGATTCCGCGCCCGGGCCGAAACGGCAGCCGGGAAAAAGAGATGATAAAACAGGGCAAAGACAAAGGCAGGAACTCTAAGTAAGCTGCCGATCGAGTCCCCACGAGGCGAGGAGGAGAGATGTGGATGTGGAGGAAGAGGAGGAGCAGGATACAGATGAGGAGGAGGAAAAGGAAGAGGAGGAACGACAAACCATTCGGACGCCGTGTCTAACATCATTACTGGATCGCTAACTTCTCCTCTGTGCCGCACTCCTCTGGCCGTACCCGTCCGGGTGGATCCAGGGACCAGGACGGGACAACAACGCCCGTCGCCCCTTGGGTTGTTCGACCACGGTGTTTCGCGACCCCTGGATCTGAGTCCTGGGACGCGCTAGCAGCCCTGGTCGGCGCTGACGTCAGCCGGGACCACGAAGCGAACGCGGGCCAGCCACGGCATGTCCCCGACCCAGGACCTCGGACGAAGGGGAAGGGGGGGTCTGGCCCTCGAGGCTTCCAAGCCCTGGTCCGCCAGGGCTTCTCGGTGGGGGCTGGCCTACCCCCGTCAGCGCCGACTCCCGCCACGTCCGTCCCGGTGAGTGAGGGCCGCCTGGGTCCTGGGTTTGCCAGGCTCACGCCGCACCTGCCTCCTGCCCGCTCGCCCTGCGCTGGCTCTGACAGCACCCGCCCGCTCCTCGGCACTCCTCTTCGAGCGGCGTCCACCGTGCGCTCTCTGGCGCCTCATGCAAACGTCGAGACGAGGGTGAATTCAAACTCGGCGGAGACAGACTATTGAGAGCTACGATCAGGCCGGTCGTTTTGACCAGATCGGCCTACCCTCCAGGACCCCACGGGCCCACCGGGCATCAAGGCGAGGGCTTTCCTCTGCTTCAACTGAGTCTCTGTCGTTGGCTTCGGGGGCCGCTTGGGCCACGCACGAGCATCGGTCACCCGCACCCCCTTCCGCACGAGGCAGGGTAAACCCCACATACCCCCCTTCAGTTAGTGGGCCACTGCCCTAGCACATTCGCTTACCCACCCCAGGAAGCCCCCTCCCATAAGCCCAGATTCATTTGAATCGCCGAAGGGAACTGGTGAGTGCGCTTTTGAAGGGCATTTGGGTGAGGAGGGGTTAATAAATATTGGACGTGGTCCCTAGGAGGAGTGTCGACAGGCACCCTAGACTGAGCACCTCGACACCGTTGCTATGTAGCAACGTATCCCCCCCTCGCTGTGGGCTCCGTGATGGGAGCGCCCTACTCTGCAAATCCCGCCCCCCTACGGTTGCTGATGATGGCGTCCAACTCGCGCCCTCATGATACAGCCAATCATCCTTCTGCTCCTCATCCTTCTGCTCCTCCTGCTCCGAGCGCACAAGCCCTGAACAACACAAATTGTGTCACCTCCTGCGGAGCTGGTTGTGCATCGGCCGCCGTTCCCCGTCCTTCCGCCGGCACTGGCGCCCTCGCTTTACTTCCGCCGGCCATCTGCCTGCTTCCGCTGAGGACATGATGGCAACTTCAAGGAGCCCTCACAGGCGAACACTTTTTCTGCAGCTGTGACATATATATATATATACACACCATCCTTCTCCCCGACACCAGTGCGGATGATGGTGAAGAAGATAGCGTGGAGAAGACGGCGGGTGGAGAAGCAGGAGGGCCATAAGGAGCGGTGATGATGAGGGTCAAGACGAGGAGGACGACGACGAGGAAGAAGGGGGGCGCCACAAGGACAAGGAGAATGGCGACACGCCACCACTGATCATGTCGCCAGTGAGGGTCGATGCGCATCTCAGGGTCCCCGACAGTGTACCACACGTCGTTGTGGTCCTCCCCCATGGTCCGACTCTCCTCCTTGAGCACCCCACTCCGCCCTCCCTCCAGCCCATCTCGCCTCACTCCGCCCTCATGCCCCTCTCCTTCCCGTCCACTCCCTCCGTTTCCTGCTCCCCCCTCATTTTCCTGCTCCACCCCCCTGGCCAGGAGGAGGAGGAGGAGGAGGAGGAGAAGGAGGAGGAGGAGGAGATGGAGGAAGAGGATTGAATTGGATTGGATTGGTCCCAGATAGGAGTGCGGTGGCCTCATGCGTGGCCGCATGTCCATGGGAAGCGCCAGATTCCGGGGGTGGTGACCGTGCGCGACCCCACGGCGACCCAGCTAGATCCCGCCTTGGCAGCTGAGGTGGGGGGAGGTGGAGTGGGACAGCAACCTCGGCAATAGCTGTGCTGGGCAACAGCTGAGCCGCAGGAGTGGGAACTGGCCAGTCGGGGGGGCCAGGGAGGCCGTCGGCGATTTGAGCTCTTGAGTGGCCTGTCAACCGAAGCCCTGCCATCGCACGACGCAGGTGCGAGGCTCGACATCGGAAGGGAAGGGGGGTAGAGCCATTCCCAGGGGGAGGGGGCAGTCCTGCTTGCCTCGGCAAGCCCAGCCTGGCCCCAACCCCACCTTCCAGCAACGGAAGGGGGGGAGGGGAAGGGGGACGCAGGCAAGGATGACGAACCGAGCGGGGGAGGGTCATGTTACTCCGCCGCGGGGCCCCAGAACCTGGCAGCCGCCATCTCGCCGTCTCTGGCGAGGGATGTCGCCTCCTCATACCCAGCCTCCCTGGGGCGCGCTGCGAGGATCCCGCGGGCCGCCGCCTCCCTGGAGGGCAGCGCCGGGGTGCTGCAGGCTGCCCAGTAGGCCGCCCGCGCCGCGCTCGTGCTGCTGAAGGTGCCCAGGATGTGTAGGGTGGAGCCGAGGATCTGCCCCTGACAGCAGGCACAGGCCTGCCTCCGTGCCCTCGAGCGGGCGCAGTATGAGTGGGACAGGACGAGGAGCTGGCACCAGAGACGACTCAAGGAACGCTGCCCAAAAAGAACCGCGCTGGGCTGGCGAAGAGAAACTGCGGCGGAACAATTGTTCCGGGGCGCAGGGCCCAACGACAGCGGGGCTAGCACACCAACCCGCGTTTGTAGGCGTTGTCGCAATGCTGCGCTGCACCTGGCATGGGGCGCACTGCGGACATACGCTTGACACGCGGTAGGGCGGCCTCTCCCGCCGCTGCGCCCTCCAGGCGGGTCAACCTTAGAGCCCCCATTCGTGCAGCAGCGCCAGTGAGACTGTCGCCCGAGATCGCCCAGGGGACACGTGGGCTTGCAAGAACGAGCCTCTGTAAAGGTCCCCCTCAAGCAACCGCCGCAGTCCGGCTCCGCGGGAGGCGACGTCCTGAATGGCCCCAGCCGCCCCAGTGAGTGACCATCCCAAGTTCAGAGACTGCCATGTCACCACTGCGCCACGGATGGCCCCCTGGGAACGCTGTTGCCCAGCCTTCGCCGGCGGAGTCCCAGCGCGTCGGAGCTCCCTCGGCCGCGGCCAGTAGCCGAGGCTCCGAACTCCATGTCGAAGACGTGCGCCGCTGCGGCCAGGGGGAGGGCGCCCGCCGCTGCGCGGCCAGCCAGGGCGGCGCATGTGGCCGATGCCGCGCCGATGCTCGCTTCCAGCGCCCCGAGGAGGAGAAGGTCCCCGGGCCACCAGAGGCCGAGCCACTTGTGTCTGGGGGCAGGGGCGAGACCCGCCTGCACCAGCGGGCGGCCATGCAGTGGCAGCTGGAGAGAGGGGGGGCGCCGGCAGGCGCGCCTCCCGCGCGGCCTGGGATCCGTGCGCCACCACCGCGCGTTTGGACGCCTCGGTGCGCGGTGATGCCTTCCACCTTCCTGCCAGGGCTTGGAAAGAGCGCCTGGCGCCCCCCCCCAAGGAAGACGCCAGCAGAGCTGGGTCGTGCGCGTGGAGCAGGGCCCCAGTCCGCCCAGGCGCGGCCGCGTTCAGGGCAGCGAGGGCCGAGGCCTCCAGGTCCGGATCCCGCCGCAGAGCCGCGGGCGGGGCCAGCGGTGGCTTCGTCGCAAGCGCGTGAAGCAGGCGCTCCACGAGAGCCTGGCGCAGCTCTCCTTTGCCGGACCATCTGTGGCGGGACTGGGCTGGCGGCATCAGGACGCCCGCCCCAGCACCGCAATCAGCCTCCCGCAGGTCCTGGGCGAGCGAGTCCATCTACGATGGGAGCGCGCGGGGCCCAATGGCGGCGCCCTCCGCGATTTCTTGCAAGACTGGAGCGGTCGCCACGCCATTGTGGTTCCCGTGGACAACATCTTTCTCAAACGTACTTCATAAAAGGGCCAGCATGCCGTCCGCGACTCCTGCCTGCACCCCGAGGCGGGCCAGCAGCGCCTCACTCCACGTTTTGGGGGAAGCTTTCTGGAAGTCTCCAAACATGACCCACAAGATAGGAAGGCACCAACTATACACCAACACCGATCCTGGCCAGGATCACCCTGGGCCCAGGATCGGTGTATACGCCCTCCTGCCTTGCGCAAGAAGGCATATACACCGATCCTGGGCCCAGGGTGATCCTGGGCCAGGATCGGTGTTGGTGTATAGTTGGTGCCCTCCGACAAGAGTCGACCTAGGGCCGCGGCTGCCGCTGCCAGCTCGCGGAGCACCAGCTGGGCGTCTTCGACGTCCCGGACATGGCCACCCTGCCCGGGGAGCACCGAACCCTGCAGGTGCTCGAAGAGGCGGCGGTGCACCACAGACTCTTGGACGAGCATCAGCTGCGTCTTCACCATGATCAAGCGGAAAGACGACGTGCAGTCCACCGAACTGTCCTCGTGGAGAGGAACCCGCGCAGCTCCCGCGTCACAACTCTGGCCTCATCGCAAGATGCCTGGGGCCTGCAAGGCAAGGCATTGCTGAAGGGGCCCTGGGACACACAAATGAATACACACAAATAACATGATCCCCCATATTTTCCCATATTTCCTAGGTTTTTGTCTTCCCCCCCCCACTCCCCACAGCTTCCCATATCGTCCAGGGGATCGACGATTCATTGTGCCTGTGTGTATTTCCCCCCCCTGGATTGCGCGAGCCACGCCGCCTCATCGACGCGCGCGCCCTCCAGCAGGAAGACGAGCCGCGGGCTCAGGCCCGGCGTGGTGGCGCCCGCACCTCCCCTTCTCCACGGCTGGCGGGCCGAGGGGCCCTGCGCCCCCGCGGGGCCTCGCCCTGCGGGCGTGCCCGCGGCGTGGGCGACGGGGGCCCACGGCCCGAGCCGCTGCGTCTGCTCGCGATGTCGCGTGCACCAGGCGCGTCGGGAGCCTTCCGCGGTACAGTCGGGGCGTTGACCTAAGGAACCCTAAATAAGGAACGAGGCCCCTTTTTTCCACAAGTTAAGCTTCGATTTCGTATCGAAAGCATAAGGAACACCTGAGGCAAGCTGTGAAACACTTAAGGAACGTGGAGCCCCTCCCCAACGAAAAGGGTTCCTTCTTCAGGGCCCCGACTGTAAGCGCGCTGCCACCCTCATCCCCGAGGATGGCCACGGGCGTCGGCGGCTGCGGCCGCACGAGGCGGAGGAACTCTGCCGCCCTCTCGCACGCGGCGCCAGGTCCCATGCAGCGCTTCTCGGATGCGGCTGCCCAGCGGCCCGGGTTTGCTCGACTCCGGCCTACGAGGACAGGTGGTCTCCGAGACTACCCACCCTGCCATGACGACGCCCAAGGAGAGGTGCAGAAGCCAGGCGATTGCGTCTGCCAACCGCTGGGCGGGGCGGGTGGCCAGAGACCGGATCCGCACGCGCGGACACGTTTCATTGCACAGACTCTTGACTCTGGTCAGGTCGGGCATGTCCCCCGACAGGCGGATCATGGACGACAGATAGAAACATACCCCCCAAAATGCCCCCGAGTTGTCAAACATCGTCGGAACATCGGCCCCATACTATTTTTGCACTGTTTTTGAATTTTCCTCCCGTAGTGACACACCCTCAAAATGCCCTCGAATTGTCAAACATCGTCGGAAAATCGTCCCCAGACTATTGTCGTACTGTTTTTGAATTTTCCTCCCGTAGTGCCAAACACACCCTCAAAATGCCCTCGAATTGTCAAACATCGTCGGAAAATCGTCCCCAGACTATTGTCGTACTGTTTTTTGAATTTTCCTCCCGTAGAGGGACACGCCCGACTTAAGCCGACGGCACCGAGGGCACCCTATGGGCCCCCCGAGCCTGCCGCGGCCCATGGCCTGCCACGCCCGCCCCGGAGGCCACCAGCGGGGCATGCGAACCCCCCTGTTCCGCCCCCCTGCCCAGGAGCAATGTCGGTGAAGGGGCCCCAGGACACACAAATAAATACACACAAATAAACAGCTTCCCCATATTTTCTGGGTTTTTGCCTTCCCGCCCAATTCCCATACTTTCCTGTATTTCCTGGGAGTCGACGATTAATTGTGTCTGTGTGTGTTTTTTTCCCTCCGGAGTCGGGGGGAACGGAAGGGGGATAGCAAAGGGCAGGGTAGAGAATCGGCTCACGCAGCTGATTTTCCCAGCGCCTCCCGGCGCCGGGAGGCGCCCATGTATCGAGGAATGGGCCCGGCGGCGGGGCCGAAACCAGCTGCACGAAGCAGATTTCGTAACCCCCCCCTTTCCCTATCCACCCCTTTCGTTTGGCCCGACCCCTGCCCAGGAGCAATGGGAAACGGAATGGAAAAATCCAAGAAGAAATGGCCCCCTAGCGCGTGCACAGCACAAGATTCCCACTGACAGCCACACCCGAATTCCCACCGCGATCTGCACCTCTATGCAGGCCCTCAGAGGTGTCCACACATCATCGACCGGAGATGCCGTTGTGGATCCGCACGTTGCCCATGGCCGCCGGGGAGGCCACGATCACATCAGGGCATCTCGAACGGTACATTTCCATGGCGTCTGTCTCCTGCGCGAACTTGTGCGGAGCGGCGCCAGATCGGGAGCCAGATGTGCTCTGGAGGGGCCTCGCCAATCTCTGGGTCCTGGTGCCCGAGGCTCCCCAGGTGGCCGCTACAGCCGTGCAGGCCCGTGCCCGTGCTGGGGAAGGGTCTCGACTTCCCAGGAATTCGGCCCGCTGTGAGATGATGTCCCCCATAAAGACGGCGCGAACACCGTCCGCAAGGTGGGTACTCCCCACAGTGCCTTCAGGTCCTCCTTCAATCCAGCCGTCTCGGGGAGGAGGAGGGGGAGGGGGGGGAGGAGGACGAGGAGGAGGAGGAGGAGTACGGAGGAGGAGGAGGGAGAGGAAGCTGACCACCTCCCTGAGCAAACATCCGTCGACAATGACCAGTCTCGTGAACAGGTTTCATGCCCTGCCCCAGCCTCCCTGCACCCTGGGCTGCCAAGCGTGCTGCGCAGACATGCATTCCAACAACCTGCGCGGCTGCGTCGCGGCAGTCCAACTCTTTGATGTGAGGGAATTTCACGTCCATCTGGGCGTCGTACAGCTGGCTCTCCGGGTAGAACGCGGCCTCGGGTGCCGCCTGGCCGCCGCTGCTCCGCTGCTCGGACGGCAAGTGAGACGCAGTCCCCGTGTGGCAGGTGCGTTGGAGATGGAACCTTGCAAACGCCAGGGTGCAAACCTACGTAGTCCAGCTCAACGTGCACATGCGGAGAAGCACACATGCGTGTGCCCACAGCGTTCTTGCAATCCTAGCCACCCCACGTCGCTTTGTTGGGCACGCGGCGTAGACAGAGACAGAGACGAGGAACAAGTTCAGCTTCCAGGTAGCAAGACTTTGCGACATCGTCGATGCATTGGTTACGCACCCGCTGCCAGCTGGAAGCGCCCCGACGGTCCAGTCTTGCTATGAATTTGCATGGTCGTGTGAGGAACAAGTCCTGGACCTTGGGGGGCTCCATGGGACCAATTCTTCACCCTGAGCAGTTGTTTGACGGCCCCGTGACCCGGGAACGGCCCCAGGAACCCAAAAGAAGTGAGACAGCTCAAGGACCCGCTTCCCTCAAGACCCGATTCCAGCATGGCGACCGCTGCTGGCTGGCACCGAGGCGCCTCGACTCAGACGAGGCCAGGACCGAGACAACATCGGACCAGGAGAAATCAGGGATCTCCGAGACCTGGTGGTTCTGGAAGAAGTGTCGGGCGGCGCGGACGCTCCTGAGCGCTGCGGTACGCGCCAAGCGTTCCGGAACGCTCTGGAACGATCTATCCCGGTCCCAGGACTAGGCAAGCGCGTTTCAATACTCGCAAAGTGACTACTCGGACATGGCCTGGATCCGCCGCGTGGGGTTTGCGATCCATCCATTACATTTACGAAGACGACATGTTCTTTTTTGATCCTGACGTTTGCGAGTAGGCACTTTGCGAGTAGCGGAACGCGCTCGGTGAAGGACTGCCTGACCGACGGTGCAAGGACATTACAGATCGAGCCTGAAGGTGCTTGTAGCACGAAGGCTCAACCGTAGGAATCGAGATGAAACCTCGCCTGGGGAGGTCTGCTGGCTCATGCGGCAGCCGCCGCAAAGGCCGCGGCCCAGTAGTTGGGAAGTGCAACCAAGACCACGATTGAGATGGCTTGGCCTGACCCTTACCTCCTCGCGTCGCGACAAACAAACGCAGCTGATTGCCGTTTCGTTGCTCGGCGTCCGGCGGCCCGGACAGGGCCCCGGAACCTTCCGACAACGACTCGGGACGACAGACGGCCCCCAGAAAGCATCCAGGCCCCTCAAGGGCCACGCTGCGAACGAGATCACAGTGTCAGGAGAGCCCGGAATCGAATCGATGAGTCGGATCGGCAAGCAAAATGAATCGGATCGGAGGAAGTCGGCAGCCGAGTCGGGAAAAGTCGAATCGGCGTAAATCGGCAGGCCAGTAGGCCTCCCTTGAGAAATCGGAGCCCAGATCGGAATCCGAAGCCGAAGCGACTCGGAATCGCAAGCCACCGAGATCGGATCGAATCGAAGCGGAGGAATCGGCATGAGCCCTGCAACGTCGGAGAAGCTGGGGTACAGCCTGGGCCAGGTGTCGGCCAGGGAGGTGGCACAGCGGCCGGGGCTCGGCCCCCGTGTGAGCACCGCACCGTGCGCGTGCGCAGGGAGGCCCGCAGCCGGGCCAGCCTCTCAGGTTACACTCGACCGGGATGGTAAGGATGCGCGGTCAGGATGCAAAGGCCTTGGAACGCCATGCTGACGTTTGCCGTGCGGAGCGCAGCAGGATGCCGAAGGATGCCGAATACCGAAGGGGCGAGGATGCAAGGGTAGTTCATTAGCCTTGGAAGGTTGCCCCATCCTTGCTATCATGGTTGACTGTAATTATGATGGCTCAGCGCTGGGTTTAGGCCGGGCGTGTCCTACAGGCGGATTTTCGACGGAAAAGGAAGAGGGATGAAAACAACGACCCTACCCTGGGTTACGAGCGCGTGGTCTGCAAACCTCCTGGGAAGTCCCAAAGCCCAGAGAGCCGCCAGGGCGCCGCACACCACGCCAGGGTTTACCCCGTCAGCCCACAGGAGGTTCAGCGCACGGCGCCTCGTAAACCAGGGTAAGGTCGTTTATTGCCACCTTGGAATAAACATTGTCAGAAAATACGTGGAAAATGCTCAAACATAATTAGTCAAACAATCGTCCCCAGATATGTTTTGCCTATTTCTCATGTTTTTCCTGTAGAAGGACGTGCCCGACTTATCGCTAGGTCAGGGCGAGGCGGCGTGATCTCTCAATGATCGGCGTGATTGGGAAGCTCGCTGTCAAACCAGGGGGGATTGCCAGCTGTGGAGAGCCCTGCCGAACCGATAAGGCACCGAGTGGACCGTCCGCCATGTGCCTTCGGATTTGCAGTATTATATATTGACCACGAATTTGACATGTGAGCTTTTTTTATTCGGCGTTTCGACATTGGGCGGAAAGGAGAGAGGGGGGGGTCTGGCTCCGGAACTCTGCGTAGTGCGACTGTTTGCGACAGTGCGTCCCATGAGGGGAGACTCCACCTGCTCGAAACAGGCGCCAAAAACAGCCAAGGTCCACTCCAGGGGGGGGGAGGGGGGGGGGGGGCGCGCCGATCGGCAAAACAATGCATAAAAAAACGATCGACATGGCACTGTGTTCAACCTCACGGGTTTCCCCGGGCCGCTCGCGGCTTCTCACGCGACTCCAGCAATGGCCAAGCAGCGCCGAGACGGTCCAAGAGGGCCCCGAGGAGGAGGAGGAGGAGGAGAAGGAGGAGGAGAAGGAGGAGGAGGAGGAGGAGGAGGATGAGGAGGAGGAGGAGGAGGAGGAAGGGCCCCGAGTCGGCACACGAGCGCCCCAAGACGCCCAGGATGCCCCAGACGGCCCACGAGGCCGCCACAATGTCCCGAGAGGGCCCCAGGAGGGCCCCCGGGAGGGCCTCCAGAGGCCCACATCGTTGACCGCCAGTCTGCATGTTTTTGGCGCACTCGCACTTCCGAGCCGTCAGAGCTCCCAGGACGGCCCAAGAGGCCCCCAAGGTCGCCCGAGGCGGCCCCCAGGAGAGCCCAAAGAGTGCCCGGAGATGGCCCAAGAGGGCCCCACGAGGGGCCCAAGTGGGTAAGCGAAGGACCCATGGAAGCCTGACATTCCAAGAGAATCCACAAGACCCTTAACATGCCCCTAGGCCCCCCACAAGCTCCCAAGAGGCTCCCACGAGGCCTCTAAGAGGCCTCGACGAGGCCCCACGAGCCTCCCTCCAGCAGGGCCCCGACAGGCCCCCGAGAGGCACCCCAAGAGACCCCAAGAGGCAGCCAAGAGGCGTCTTGCCCACAGCCCAGGCAGGGTGGCAGGCTGGGCCGAAGGCCATCGCCTCTCAGGGCCTCGTCTCTCCCTCGTAGCGCATGCGAGCGTTACTCATCAGCCCTGGGTCAGCTCGTAAACTGCTTCCCGCCTCGGTGCACCTGCCTTCGGCATGCGCACGGCCGCCCTCTGCAATCGAGGGGGGAGGCCGACTACGAAGAGGCCGGTGAGGGAGAGACAGGAGGGGGAGGAGGAGGAGGAGGAGGAGGAGGAGGAGGAGGAGGAGGAGGAAGACAACGACGGCGACGACACAGAAGAACAATAAGCTAATGCTGCGCAGGGGAGACGGAAAGGCCTGGAAGGCGGCGTCGAAACTGTTGAGCCCCGCTGACATCAAGCTGCCAGGCGGCATGCTGCCACCTGCAGTCCCGCCGGAGGCGACCCCTCCCTCACCCGATGACAGCAGCCAGAAGCACGACGCCCCTCGCCCCTTCCTCTTCCCATATCCTCCCGCTGCTCTTCCCGATCTTCCTCCGTGCCAACTTCTCAACACCCGTTCACCTCATTCTCCTCACCTTCTCGCTCGGAGTGTCTCGGAGTATGCGTGAGTCTGCGCACTGCTATGTGCTTCTATGTACACCCCGCAGATGCGAATAAGAGTGAGGGGGCGGGCGCGGGGTGGGTCGCGGGTGGGTCGCGGGTGGGTCGCGGGGTGGGTTGCGGGTGGGTTGCGGGTGGGTCGCGGGTGGGTTGCGCGTGAGTCGCGCGTGGGTCGCGCGTGGGTCGCGGGTGGAATGCGCGTGGGTCGCGGGTGGGTCGCGGGTGGGTCGCGGGCGCGTCGCGCGGTGGATTGCGGGTGGGTCGCGGGCGGGTCGCGGGCGGGTCCCGGATCGCAGGGTGGGTCGCGGGTTGGTCGCGGGTGGGTCGCGGGTGGGTCGCGGGTGGGTCGCGGGTGGGTCGCGGGTGGGTCGCGGGTGGTCGCGGGTGGGGTCGCGGGCGGGACGACGACAACAAACAACAGCAACAACAACAACAATCATTTTGAGACTGTTCACTCTCATCTGCTCGCGTGCCGTTCAACACGTATATCCCGAATCCTGGATACCCGCCCACTTCGTCCTGGACCGTACTCCCTTGGGGTATGTCTTTCTCACATGCAACGTGTATTTCGCGCAGCCCCTGAGGTAGGGGAAGCGAGGACGGATGGAAGGAAGGACAAGGGGGAGGGAGGAGAATGGAGCACGGGCTGGGAGCAGAAACACGTGGCAGAACCAGGCGGGCAGATCGGGCGGGTAGACTCTACCAGGCGGGTCGGGAAGCAGGGCCCAGATTAATCGCGAGGAAGTCTCGAGCGACAGCTCGATTCCCAAAGCAATCCTGAGGAAATCCACGGCGAGAGCGTGACACCTGAATGTCGAGGGCGCGGCGTCTGAATAAATTGCGAGGAAGTCCCATGCGAGAATGCGATTCCTGAATAAATTGTGAGGAAGTCCCGCGCGAAATCGCGATTTGGGAATGCGTTGTGAGGAAGTAGTGACTTCCCCTGACATAAAAAACAGGGTGCGAGCCTCGGTGGAAACTCTTCAATTGAAAAACACTCTGGTCTCCTGAGGGGGTGCTCAACAATAATTACTCTTCAACCGTGAGTTCAACAGCAGCAACAGCAGCAGCAGCAACAACAACAACAGTCACAACCACAACCACAACCACAACCACAACCACAACCACAACCACAACACCAATAACAACAATAACAACAACAATAACAAAAAAAACAACAGCATCCCTAACAAAACCAACAACACCAACAACAATAACAACAGCAACAACAACATCAACAATCATGTGAAGACTGTTCGCTCCTATCTGATCGCGGCCCATTCAATTCGAACACAAACCATCGATACCCGCCTCTTCGTCTTCGCTCGTACCTCTTTAGGGGTATATCTTTCTTACCTGCAACGTGTATGCCGTGCAGCTCCTGAGGCAGAAGAAGAGAGGCCGGATGGAAGGAAGGGACAAGGGGCAGGGAGGAGGGTTGAGCACGAGAGAGAATAGCAGGAGGGGAGCTAGGAGCAGAAAACACGTGGCGTTACCCGGGAGCGGGGATCAACAACAATTATTCTTTGGGAGTGGAATTCAATCCGCAACGTGGAAGCCCACTTCACCCACGCACCCAGGCACAGTGAATGAGCGCTCGGCCCCCTCACTCTGATCAGGGGTCTCCTTCGGCCTCCTGGGGCCGCTTGACGCTTCCTGGAAGCGCCTGGGCACCTCCAAGATGAGCCAACGGGCAAAAAACCAATATAAGCCTAAACGTTGCCCGTCCGCGGACAACACCACACCTGCCCAGGAGGGCGATCTAACCGGGTTCTGCCAGGGTCTATTCCCGAAGGTCTGAAGTAAGGCCGAAAGACATATCCAACAGGGCTGGCTGCAGGATCCCACTCCCAAGGTTCAGGGCTGCAGTTTTCTTCCGCTCGGCAAGCTGACAGCACCGTCATCATGCTTGTCCTGCTCCTCGTTTTCCTCGTCGTCTTCCACCTGGAGCTGGGGGGGGGCAGCGCGGGGAGCTTCGAGGTGTGTCGGGTGCCACCGCCGCCTCCCCTACGCCGACGTCTCGGCCAAGCACTGCAGAAACAGCGCCGAGCGCTGAGGCCCCACTGCGCCGGCGGCCAGGTCCTGGGAGGAACACTCAGGTCAGAGCGAGGGGGCCGAACGGTCATTCACTGTTACTGGGTGCGTGGCTGAAGTGGGCGTCCGCGGTGCGGATTGATGTTGTTGTTGATGTTGTGGCGGTGGTTGTGGCTGTGGTCGTGCCTGTTGAACTCTCACTTCTGAAGAATAATTATTGTTGATCCCCCCCACCGGTGCATACTGTTTTTTCTCAATCAAAATGTGCCCCTCGACGCTCGCACCCTGTTTTGTATCAGGGGAAGTCTTCCTCCTCAAACCAGACCCCTGGCCCCCGGGTTACAACAACAATGGCTCCCGCCGGAGACTTCCTCACAATTGAGCCAAGACCCCGGCTCCCGCCCGAGACTTCCTCGCATTTGATTCAGGAATCGCGCTTTCGCTTGTGACTTCATTACAATTTATTCAGGAATCGCTCTCCCGGCGCTCTGGAGTCGCGCTGTCACTCGCCTGCAATTTGCTGAAGAATAGCGCCCTTGCGTTGGAATTTCTTGCAATTTACTCAAGCGCCGCGCTCCCGAAACCCAGGCACCCAGGACTCGCGCTCACGCCTAGGATTCCCTCACAGATTACCTGGGAATCGGGATCTCGCTGCCCTTCGTGGCCCCCGTTGCAGCCCTTCGTGGCCCCCTCGTTTTGTTTCGTGGCCCCGTTGCAGCCCGTTTTGGCACCCTCGCTGCCCTTCGCGGCCCCGTTGCAACCCCTCGCGTCCTCCTCACAGCCCTTCGTGGCTCTCTCGCTGCCCTTGTGGCCCCGTCGCAGGCCTTCGTGGCCCCATTGCAGCCCTTCGTGGCCCCCTCGCTGCCCTTCGTGGCCCCGTTGCAGCCCTTCGTGGCCCCTTCGCTGCCATTCGTGGACCCGTTGCAGCCTTTCGTGGCCCCATCGCTGCCCTTCGTGGCCCCGTTGCAGCCCTTCGTGGCCCCCTCGCTGCCCTGCGTGGCTCCGTTGCAGCCCTTCGTGGCCCCCTCGCTGCCCTTCGTGGCCCCGTTGCAGCCCCGCGGCGCCCTCGCTGCCCTTCGTGGCCCCGTTGCAGCCCTTCGTGGCCCCCTCGCTGCCCTTCGTGACCCCGTTGCACCCCTTCGTGGCCACTTCGCTGCCCTTCGTGGCTCCGTTGCAGCCCTTCGCGGCGCCCTCGCTGCCCTTCGTGGCCCCGTTGCAACCCTTCGTGGCCCCCTCGCTGCCCTTCATGGTCCCGTTGCACCCCTTCGTGGCCACTTCGCTGCCCTTCGTGGCCCCGTTGCAGCCCTTCGTGGCCCCCATTGCTGCCCTTCGTGGCCCGTTGCAGCCCTTCGTGGCCCCTTCGCTCCCCTTCGTGGCCCCATTGCAGCTTTTCGTGGCCCCCTCGCTTCCCTTCGTGGCCCCATATATGCATGCCCGTCGTGGCTCCCGCTCGTTCGCGCCAGTCGTGGCCCCATAGGCATGCCCTTCGTGGCCCCGCTGTCGCTGTTTGTGGCCCCCTCATTGCCCTTCGTGGCCACGTTGCTGCTCTCAGGGGCCCCGCCCTTGTCCTCCGCGGCTTAATATACGCATGCCTTCGTGTCCCCCGCTCTTTCGCGCCCCTCGTGGCCCCATGTGCATGCCCTTCGTGGCCTCGCTGTCGCCCTTTGTGGAGGCTACGTGGCCGAATCCCCCTTTCGTTTTTGAAGTTGTCGGCTTGGCGTTCGTTTTTTGTTTTTTTCTTGGGGTGGGGTGGGGGGGGTGTTCGGGGCGTTCTCCTTGAACCGTTTCCGGTTCCGTTTGCGTCGCGGCCCACGTGCGTTGCGTTTCCGTCTGCGTCGCGACCCCGCAGAGTCGTGGCCAAAGGGAAATGGTCTACAACCTTTGGGGTGGCGAACAAAAAAAAAACATGGTGAACTCATGTTTTTTTGTTCACCCCCCTTCCCCCCCTCCTCCATCCCCCCCAAGCCTCCCATTGCTGTAGTGTTTTGGCATTTTCGTGGTGGCACTGCACCAGCCGTAGAACAATACTGCAACAGCAGTACAGCAGCAGCGGTACTCTTAGCATTGTACGAGTGATACGTTCATACCGTGCAAAGCCAGTAGAAATATTGCATTATTGGCAGCAGTCTAGTAGTCCTGTAGTTGCAGTCGTACAAATAAAACTAGTAGCACAACCTGGGGGGGGGACAAGGGGGAACAACAATCATGGTACACATCTTTATGTGAAACAATGCCCGCCCCCACCCCTCCCCCTCTCCCATCCCCCCAACCCCCCCATTGCTGTAGTACTGTAGCGGTGGCACTATACGAGTCGTAGAACGGTACTGTAGCAACTGTACAGCAGTAGTGGTACTCGTAGTAGTGTACTCGTGGTGCGCTCATACCGTGCTAAGCCAATGGGAGGGTTGCAATATTGGAGTGGGAGCACTGTGGTAGTCCTGTAGGTGCAGTCATGACAATAAAAATATGAGCGCCCAGGACCCCCAGTAAAAACAATATTCTAATGCGCGCTTCAATAGTCGCACTGTCGTGCTGCAGTAGAAGTAGTCCACTACTGTAGTGCTCGAGCACAGTAGTTGCACCCTCGAACTGAAGTGGTTCAGTGGTCGCAATGTAGGAAAACCGGTGCAAGATTGTGGAGTAGCGCTGCCCTGTTGTAGCGGCAGCACTGTAGAAGCAATACTCTATTACAGTACTCAAACGAATGGCACTCCACGGTTGCCTGCAGTGAATGTACCATGGTACTGCAAGACGAATACTCCAATGCCGTCGTATCGCAGCATTGCTGTACGCGTATAGTGCTGTAGCGTTGTAGTGGTGGCGCTGTAACAATTGTAGAACAGTACTTTAGCAGCAGTGCTGCAGAATTGGCACTCGAATACTGTACTGGTGGTACTTTGAGAAGTGCTGAGCCAATAGTAGTAGTAGCGCAGTGATGAAATGACAGCACTGTAGTAGTCGTGTAATTGCAGCGGTAGCGCGCAAGTCTTGCAGTAAAGACCAGGCTCTGGTACTGGATGTGGTAGTCGCAGCGTGGTCTTAAAATCAAAGTAGCCCACTATTGTCGTACTCGAGCACAGTAGGTAGCCTCGAACTGTAGTGGTTTAGTGGTAGCGTTGTAGGAACAGTGCTGTACTATTGTGGGATAGTGCTGTGTTGTAGCAGTGGCACTGTAGAACCAGGACTCTGGTACAACATTCGTACGAGCAGCACTCTACGGCTGCTTGCAGCGAGTATGATACTGAACTGTAAAAGAAGCAATAATCCAACGTCGGATTCTCGCACCAGGGTTGCAGTACTCTAGTACTGTAGCGCCGTAGTGGTGGCGCTGTAACAATCGTAGCACTGGAACAGTAGCACTGCAGTAGCGGTGCTCTAACACTGTACTGGTAGTAATCTGACACCGGCACCCGTAATAGTGAAACTCTAAAATTGAAGTGCTCAAGCACGGAAGCCGTACCCTAGTACCTAATGCGCAATAGCACTGTACTAGTAGCACTTTATTGAACTCGAACTAACACCCTGGCACAATAGTAACGATAACAGTGTAATGGTGATTGGGATGGTCAATAAAGCGTTGCAGTATTCTACAAATGAACCAGCATTACACGACGGTCGTACTTCGTAGTAGTACTAATGTTGTGGGAGCAGTGAAAAGATCGTACGTTCGTAGTACTGTTGTAGTAATGTGGTGGTAGTAGTACTCGATTCCGGTAATAGCAATAATAAAGTGAGGCTCAGGCCAGGCCATGGTTGAGGCTCAGGCCGAGGCAAAGCTTAGGCTGAAGCTTCGGCTGAGCCTTATGCTAAGCTGAAAATCAGGCTTCAACTGGGACTGAACACTCGGCTAGGCTGAGGCTTAAGATGGGCTTCGGCTAGGCTTGTAAGTTCGGCAGATGTTCGGGTTTGGCTGGCTCAGTCTGATGCTTCGGTTCGGCGGAGGTTGGCGCGTAGGTTCAGGCTGGGGTGCATGCCTGGCTTCGGCGACGCGCAGGCTGAACCGTAGGATAGGCTGACGCTGAAACCTAGGCATAGGCCCGGCTCAGGCTGGGCAGAGGCTGAGGCTAGGCTGAGGCAGGGGGCCGAGGCTAGGCTGAGGCTGAACTATAGGCTTAGGCTTAGGCTAGGCTTCGGCCTAATGTTGGCGGGGGGCTTAAGCTAGGTGTGGCCGAGGTTCACGCTGGGCCCATGCGGAGGTCTAGGCTGATGACGGCGAAAAGAGAGACAGAGAGAGAGAGAGAGAGAGAAAAAAAAAAAGAGAGAGAGAGAGAGAGAGAGAAAGGAAAGAGAGAGAGAGAGAGGCCGCGCAGAGGAAACGCACAGCGGGTATCCCGAGCCGATACCAGCAGCAAACAAACGACGCGCTCCGCTTCCCGCAAAACAAGATCCTTCAAAACGCACGGGGGGATTCGGCCCCGAAACCCTTTGTGGCCCCCTCGCTATCCTACGTTGTCCAGTTGCTACCCTCAATGGCCCTGTCGTTGCCTTCTGTGGCCCCGCATTATCTGCCCTTCGTGGCCCCAGCTCGTTCGCGCTCTGCGTGGCCCCATACGCATTCCCTTCGTGTCTCCGCTGTCGCCCTTCGTGGCCTACTTCGTCCCATTTATGAGTCTGCTGTCATTTTCTCTCTCGCTCTCGATTTCGCTCGTCGTCGTCGTCGTCGTGGTCGGTCCCCTGTCCGTCCTTATTAGGGTCGGGTTGCTGCCGATCAGCGCTGCCGCTGGCCAGGCCGACGGTCCGCGGCTGCCCCGCCGCTTGCCGGGGCCCGCCCTGCAGGGAAGAACAGTATACCCCGCAAAAGGGGTACCACCAAAGACAACGAGGGCGGGCATCGAGGCATTGGGAAACACGCATGAACGGACACTGGAGCAGATAAAAACGAACAATTTCAAAATTATTATTGTTGTTGCTGTTATTGTTAATGTTGTTATTGTTGTTGATGTTGATGTTGTTGTTGTTGTTGTTGTTGTTGTTGTTGTTGTTGTTGTTGTTGTTGCTTGTTGCTTGTTGCTTGTTGCTTGTTGTTTGTTTGTTGCTTGTTGTCGTCGTCCCGCCCGCGACCTGGCCCACGACCCAGCCCGCGGCCCCACCTGCAACCCACCAGCGACCCGCCCCGCGACCCGCCCGCGACCCGCCCGAGACCCACCATGCGACCCACCACGCTACGCGCCCGCGACCCACCCCGCGACCCACCCGCAACCCAAATTCGACCCACCCGCGACCCACGCCCTCCCGCAAACCACCCGCCACCCACCCGCTTCTTCTCACCCCGCGACCCGCCCGCGACTCGCCCGCGTCCCAACCGCGACCCACCCCGCGCCCGCCCCCTCACTCTTATCCGATAATCCGCAGATGCGGGGTGTTACGTACATGTACCGATGCCGCTACACTTCCCGAACCTCACCCAAAGTGCGTTCTGACTCACATCGCGAGGAGAGTCCAGCCGTCGCGGCGAGGGGTCTCAAGCCAGGACGAGCAGCAGCACGATTTTCTGTTCTTGGCTTCCTCTCTCGAGGTCCTCGACGTAGTTCGAGACCAGCACGCGGGTCACGCCCGCGGTGTACCCCGCGGGGGCGCCGCTGCGGGCGCTCGAGGCCTCCAGCGCCGCGACCACCTCGGACAGTCCGTGCGCCGTCGCCTCCGCCTCCGCCAGCAGGGCCGCGCTCGGCGGGGTCCGGCGCGGGCACCGCGCGCTGTCGTAGCCGCCCAGGTGCGAGAAGCGGAGGGCGCACATCTGCTGCAGGAAGGCCTTCGCCCCCAGGCCCAGCTCCTTCAGCGTGGCGACGACCACCTCTAGAAGCGAAGCGGGAGGCGGTCCCGAGAGCAGCGGGTCCTGGACACTTGACCCGTCCTTCGTCCTGAGCAGCCGCCTGACCTTCCCGGGGCCCGAGGAGGGCCCCGGGAGCCAGAAGAAACATAGAAAAGCTCAGGTTGAGCTGCTCGGCTGTCGCCATTTGCGTAAACTCCTGGGAGGGACGTCGGGCCCGGGGAGTACGCTGACCCAGGGCGGGACCCCGCTGCTCCCTGGGCGGCTGCGGCCTGCGCAGCCGTCGCCACTGTCGTGGGCCCCTGGGCTGCACGGCGGAGTGGAGTGAGCAGACCCAGCCGAGACCTCGCTGCTCCACGGGGGGGGCGAGGCCGTCCCGACTGCCGTAGGCCCCTGGGAAGCGCGGCGGAGGGGGGAGAGAACGCAGGCCCACGCGCGACCTCGCGGCTCCCTGGGCGGCCGCGAGCTGCGCAGCTGCTGCCGCCCTCGTGGGCTCCTCGCGACTCCCAGCGGGGGCTGCGACGTGCGCAACCGTCATCACGCTCGTAAGCTCCTGGGAGGCACGGCGGCGTCGGGGAGGACGCAGGCCCAGGCTCTGCGCGCCGCGCAGCCGTCGCCATTGTCTCCCCGGGTGGGTGCGAGCTGCGAAACTGTCGCCACGTCCGTGGGCTCCTGGGCCTCCTGGGAGGCACGGCGGAGTCGGGGAGTGCGCAGATCCAGACGAGATCTCGCGGCTCCCTGGGGGGTGCGAAGTGCTCAACTGTCGCCACGTTCGTGGGCTCCTCTCGGCGGAGTGGGAGTACGCAGACCCAGCCGAGACCTCGCGGCTCTCTGGGGGGCTGTGGAGTGCGCAGCCGTCGCCACTTTCGTGGGCTCCAGGGGAGCCCAGCGGGGCCGGGGGGCCACGCGCACTAATTTAAGACCTCGCTGCTCCCTGCCGTGGCTACGAAGTGCGCAACTGTCGCCGCGTCCGTGAGCTCCTGGGAGGCACGGCGGAGTGGGGGAGCACGCAGGTCCAAGCGGGACCTCGCGGCTCCCTGGGGGGCTGCGAACTGCGCAGCCGTCGCCACGTGCGCGGGCTCCTGCGAGGCACGGCGGAGTCGGGGGAGCACGCAGACAAAGCCGGGACCTCGCGGCGCCCTGGGCGGCTGCGAGGTGCGCAGCCGTCGCCACATCCGCTGGCTCCTGGGGGGCACGGCGGAGTCGGGAGGTGCGCAGACCCAGGCGGCACCTCGTGGCCCCCCAGGGTGGTTGCGGCCTGCGCAGGTGTCGCCGCCTACTACAAATGATATACGAACTGTGAGAATGATTGGCATGCTACCAATACTAATACGAATGATGGTCATAGTATTATTGAAGCAAAGCGAATATTCCTACGAATGATAAATAACACAAGCACGAATCATGGACATCATCTGCGTTATAATCATAATCGTCAGACTAATAATAACAATAGTAGAAACAATAAACATATACTAATAATAAAACATGAGAATAATAATCATAATAACACTAACAGTAATACCAATAGTAATAAGAATACACAAACAAATAATACTGCTTCACGCTCGGGACGGGCCGCTGCGGGGCGGCACTGAGGCCCTGTGGGTCCTGGGACCCCTCTGCCGCCCTCCAGACGCCGGCGGGGAGGAGGGGCCGCTGGGCGCAGTGCCTCGGGCCCACTCCGGGCGTTGGCGGGACCCGGTTCAGCGGGACCTGGTTTAGTGATGTGCACCGGGGGGCGCACCCCCCCCCGCCGCACTCCACTAGCGGTCGGGCATGTCCCCCTACAGGCGGATATTGGGCGAAAGAACAAAAATAGCCCATGCCAAAAATATACCAAAATTATCAAACATAGTTGAAACATCGTCACGAAACGATTTTTTGATTATTTGGAATAGTCGTCCTGTAGAGGGACACGCCCGACTTAACACTACCTCGCACTGCCGTCGCACGAAGCAAACCAGCTCTGGCAGACCTGGCATATAGCGATTCCGATCCATGTTTGGGGCTTCGGGGCCCCATCACTAGCCGGCTCCCCTTCACCAGGGACCCTGCTATACCCGACCACTCCCGGCGGAATCCTCCCTGGGGGGAGCCCAAACATATCGGTGCTGCTGCCGATGGACGCACAGCACGCACCCACACCCACAGGGAGGGACGGAGGGGGCCATGGGCCCAGGTCCCCTCGGGCCGCGAAAAAATCACGACGAGTTTTTCGCCATTGTCGCCAGTTTGGCCCTCACGACGAAGACATGATCGCGTCTGAAAAAAATCATGACGGGAGGTTTTTCGCCAGTTTTGGCCTCTGGGGGCCCTCACCGGGCTTCGGGACCGCCACAAAACGACTCAGGATGAACAACCGGTCCCGGGGAATGGGTCCAGACCTCTGGGGGTCGCGCCATGACACAAATCATGACGTCGGGGATCTGGGGGTGCGCGCTGTCGGAAGGGGTCCCCGCCCGAATTCGGAGGCTCCTGTTAACGGGAGCTTCCCCCGCGGCCCGTCAACCCGCACCCATACCCATAGCCGGTCCTCCTCTCTCCGATCCCCCTGTGGGTATATGTGTGTGTTGTTCGTTCGTCAGCTTCTCCCCAGACCTCTCCCAGAGCGCGGCGTTCTGACAAGGACTTCCAAGGGCCTGCCAGGGGGCAACGGCGGGAAGGGCAGCTGCATCGGTACCTTGTCCTCCCCCCGACACTTTGGCTGAATCGTCCATCGAACGTTCGTTCGGGCGGATTGCAGGTTTCCGCCTGTTGGGGGCGAGCAAAAGGGGGAAGTGAGAAGCAGAGGGCTCGGAAGTCCCCCGAAGACACAACAAAGCCTCCCTCAACGGGCGAGACGAGAGGGCTCCTGAAAAGTCCCGCCGCCTCCTGGGAAGGCCTTCTCCTTCTCACTTCCCCCCCTCGTTCGCCGCTGAACCTGGGGAAATCAAAAGGTACCCGGCGTGCGTCCTGACCAGGACTTCGAGGCGAACCCAGCGGTGGTGACGAGGGCCGCCCAGGAGGATCAAGAAGGGGAAAACGGGCGAAGGGTAGAGGTATGGGTACCTTCCCAAACCCCTGACGTCTAGATCTTTTCAGGACGGCGTCCCTGGAGGTCCCAACGCCTTCCCCGGGACCCGAATCGTTTTGTGGCGGTCCCGAGGCCCGGCGAGGGCCCCCCGAGGCCGAATAAGGGCCAAAAATCCCCCGTCGCGAGTTAACGACGCGATCATGTCTGGGTTTTCCTTCTCTGACCCCCCTCGCTCGCCGCCGAACCAACCGGCGCCACCTCCGCCACAGCCCGCACGCGCCGTCGGAGCCCCTCCTAGTGGAGCAGGGAGCGACCATCCCGGCACTCCTGTGGGCCTACCACGACGTGTCCTTAGGAACCAAACGTGTTCCAATAACAGAAACACCCCAGACCCCCTCGAGTAATGAAAAAATCATGACGGGAGGTTTTTCGCCATTTTCGGCCTCTGGGGGCCCTCGCCGGGCCTCGGGAGCGTCAAAAAACGACTCGGGATCACAAACCGGTCCTGGGGAAGGGGTCGAGAACTCTGGGGTCGACGTCATGAAAAAATCATGACGTCGGGTGTCTGGGAACACTGTTCTTCACACCAGAGAAAAGCCCCAATCAGTGGACGGTTTTCGCTGAGGAGATCGACTGGGGAACCCGGGAGCCCGGGAACCCATGGAACCCGCCGAACTCGGCCCGGGACCAAGAAGCGGGAACCATGAGCACCCGGAACCGGGAACCCGGGACCGGGAACCCGGGAACCCAGCCTGCTACCAAAATCGGCGGGAAACCTTCGCCAAGTCTTTCAAAACTTCCGCTAGAACCCCTTCAATGAAGCACTGATTTGGGAACTTCCACTAGGACCCCTTCATTGCAAGCACTGATTGGGGAACAGAAGCCCGATGAATTAAAATTACACCTGAGAAAACCCAATCCGTGGATGCTTTGAATATTAGTCATATGAATATTGAGATCGAATGTGAGATCGATAATGAGTTCGATCGTGGAATCGATGAAGGATGATTGTAAGGTGGATCGTGAGACCGAGAGTGAAATCGACTCAATGAGATAGATAGGGAGATCGATCGCGAGATTGCTCGTGCGATCTCTAGTGCGATCGCTTGCGAGATCGATTGTTAGATCGATTGTGAGATCGATGGTGAGATCGATAGAGAGGTGGGAAATGAGATCGATGCTGAGACCGATCGATAAGAAGATTGACCAGGACCCCAGAAACCTGGGAACCTCACCGCCCACCGAAATGGGCCTCGGAACCAGGAACCCGGGAAACCGGGGAACCCGGGAGCCCAGCGTGCGACCAACATCGGCGGGAAACTTTTGCCAAATCCTTCAACCTCTGCTAGGACCCCTTCAGTGCAAGCACTGATTGGGGAATTACACCAAAGAAAAACCCCAATCAGTGGATGGTTTTCGCTGAGGAGATCGACCAGGACTCCGGGAGCCCGGGAACCCAAAACCCACCGAAATTGGCCCGGAACCAGTGGACGGGAACCCGGGAACCCAGAACAAGGAACCCAGGAACCCAGCCTGCTACCAAAATCGGCGGGAAACTTCCGCCACCTCTCTCAACCTCCACTAGGACCCCTTTTAGTGCAAGCACTGCCTGGGGAACAAGACAGTCCCAGCCAGAAGAAGCGTTGCCAGACCCCCGACGTCATGATTTTTTCATGACGCGACCCCCAGAGGTCTGGACTCATTCCCCGGGACCGGCTCTTCATCCCGAGTCGTTTTTTGACGGTCCCGAGGCCCGGCGAGGGCCCCCGGAGGCCGAAAATAGCGAAACACCTCCCGTCGTGATTTCTTTCATGGCCCGAGGGGGTCCGGGGAAGGCTCTCAGAACCATCCTCTGGTGGGCCCATTGGGCGAGCCGGGACGCTGCGCCGCTGCTCGATCCTCCGTGCCCTCGGCCCGCCGCACGCTCTCCGGCAGGGCCACGGCGCGCAGGAGCGCCGCCGCGTCGCACGCGCGGCAGTTGTTGAACACGGAGACGGCGATGGAGACGTCGCCCGGGGGCGAGGAGACCTCCCAGAGATCCCCCCCGCGGGCCAGGAAACAAAACTCACGACGCGGGAGGTCTTTCGCCACTCTCGGCCTATCGGGGGGCGCTCCCCGGGCCTCCAGAGCGTCACAACACGACTCGGGATGAAGAACTGGTGCTGGGGAAGACCTCTGGGGGCCGCATCGTGAAACAATCATGACGTCGGGGGTCTGGGTCTGAGCATCTCGGCGGCGAGCCAAGGGGGGGAAGTGAGAAGGGGCGCGGGCCTCCTCATACGGCTCGGAAGTCCCCTGGCCTGCCGAGAAGTGTTCTATGAGCCTTCTCGCCGACGACGCAAGAAACCTCCTCGGAGGGCGGTAGGGCTTCCGAGAAGCCCAGCCGCCTTAATTCTGAGAAGGCCTTCTCTTTCTCACCTCCCCCCTCGCTCGCCGCCGGGTTCCAGCCGATCGCCATCCCCACGGAGGAAAACCCTGGAGGACTCGCGCGGCAACTTGAGACCCAGTACCGTCGGGGCGTTGACCTAAGGAACACAAAATAAGGAACGAGGCCCCGCTTCTCCAGAAGTTAAACCTCGACTTCCCATCGAAAACCTAAGGACAACCTGATGCAAGCTGCGAAACAATCAAGAAACACAGAGCCCCTCCCCAACGAAAAGGGTGCCTTCTTCAGCGCCCCGACTGTATGCGTCGGATCCACGTCGGGTGTGCATCGGCTTCGCGTCGGATTGCGTCGGCTTTGCGTCGGAACCACGCCGGACTCGCGTCGGACTCCCTTCGGGCCATCGCCGCGCGAAGGCCGTCCCACAGCCGGTGGGGCGGGCGGGCGGACCAGAGAAGCAAAGCGAAGGGGCCGAGCGGTCACTCCCTGTCCCTGGGTGCGTGGCTGAAGTGGCACTCCGCGATGCGGACTGTTGTTGATGTTGTTGCTCTTGTTGTTGTGTTTGTGGTTGCTGTTGTGGTTGATATGATGGTTGTTGTTGGTGTTGTTGTTGTTGTTGGTTGTTTGTTTATTCGTTTATTTGTGTGTGTTGTTTGTTTGTTTGTCATCGTCGTCGTCCTGGTTAGTGTTGTTGTTGTTGCTGCTGCTGTTGTTGCTGTGTTTGTTGTTGTGGTTGATGTTGCTGCTGTTGTTACTGGCGTCGGTGTTGGTATTGTTGTCTTTGTTGTTGTTGCTGCTGCTGTCGTTGTCGTTGTTGTTGTTGGTGGTGGTGTTGTTAGTGTGTCTTTGGTGTTGTTGTTGTTGTTGTTGTTGTCGGTGCTGTTGCTGGTGCTGCTGTAGTTGGTGTTGCTGTTGTTGCTGTTGTTGGTGTTGCTGCTGCCGTTGTTGTTGTTGCTGTTGTTGTTGTTTGGTGTCTTCCCCCCCGCGACCCAGCCCGCGACCCACCCGAGACCCACCCGCGACTCACCCCGCGACCCGCCCGCGACCCACCCCGCAACCCACCCGCGACCCACCCGCGCCCCACCCGCGCCCCACCCGCGCCCCACCCGCGACCCACCCGCGACCCACCCGCGACCCGCCCGCGACCCCCTTGCGGCGACCCACCCGCACTGCTTCAACAAGAAATCGGAGCCCGCGGCGGGTTCGGTATACAAGTTGTAAAAGAAGCCGCCTGCGGCGGGCTTCTTCAGAGCCTCGCGGACTGCAGACGTCCCCGCCGCCCCTTGCGCTCGCAGCCGCGCCTGCGGGGCGCTACGGTACGACTATGGCGCGCCGCGCGGGGCCTCCGGGTTTCTCCTCTACAGCCGCTGGCACGTTCTTGGCCCCGCCGGCCGACTTACCCTCCTCCTCCTCCTCCTCCTCCTCCTCCTCCTCGTCCTCCTCCTCGTCCTCCTCCTCGTCCTCTTCCTCCTCCTCCTCCTCCTCCTCCTCCTCCTCCTCCTTCTCCTTCTCCTCCACTTCCTCCTCCTCCTTCTCCTCCTCCTCCTCCCCCTCTGCGGGGCCTGTCCCCGCCCTTGGCGGGTGAGCTGTAGCGGCCCAGTGGAGACGAGGATCGGTGAGACGAGATGCCGCACCTCGTGGAAGTCCGCCGGCCCCACTTCCCAGGGGCGACGAGGCCCGGCATAGGCAGAGGGATTTCGCCACGTGATGCGACGTCCCCTCTCCCCACCTGGTCCTCCTCCTCTTCCTCGCCTTCCTCCTCCTACTCCTCCTCAGATTCGCATCACGTGACGGATCCAAGTCGCCGACCGCGGGAAGCCCCGCAGGAGGCGCAGAGTGAGAGGAGGGCGGATCAGCAGCAGCCCCACGCAGGCAGAGCGCGACGGGAGGCGGGGCGGCAAACAGAGCACACACACGGAATCGGAAGCCGCGCATCTCCTCTCCTTGGGGGGGGGATCGGCGGAACGGCGCGAGCCCCTTGAGTAGAAGGCCGGCAGAAACAATACGTCACCAGGACTCAGCTCCACCGCCTCCTCGGGCTCGAACTCGCCAGGGAGCACCTGGCGGTGGTGCTCGTGGACGAAGGGGTAGACGCGGAGCGGCGCCGACGGGCCAGCCAGGCGAAAGGTGCGCGTGCCCCGGACCTGCACGAAGAAATTGTCGGCGACGTCGTAGTGCGCGTTCGTCGTGGCACCCCCGTGCAGCCATACCTAGAAGGTGCGCGCTTTCTTATTCGACGTTGAGACATTCTGGGTCGGCGCTGGACCCCCAGAGGCGTCGCCCCTGGCGCGCTCCGCGTGCCAGTGCGGGGTCCAGTGGGCAGCGCCGATCCAAGAGATCCACGCAGAGCTCCGACAGTTTGTGCTTCGATATATCGTTGCTCTTCGACGGGTGCCTGGGTCCACTCCTCCCTCGTCCAGTTGGGATCGCGCCGGTTGTCCGAGAGCTCGAAGGGCCGCGCGTCCACGTCCCCCGCCAGCGCCTCGAAGTCGCAGCGCTGCGCGGCGAAGCCCGCCAGGGACCTGGAGTAGTACACCGCCTGCTTGGGCGCGAGTCAGGGCGGGAGCGATAAAGAGGGGGGGGAGAAAGGTGCCCCTTTCGGGCCCCAAAGGGCCCCTTCTGGGTCCTCAAGGGCCCCATGAGGGGCCCTGCAGGAGAGGAACAAAAACTGACGAACATACACTTTCGACGGTCCGCGCGGATTTCTTGGATCCGCGCTGGGAGCCTCTCCCTGGCGCGCGGCGCCAGGGGCGGCGCCAGAGGCGCCGCTGGGAGGCCCCAGCGCAGATCCAGGAGATCTGCGCGGAGCGCCGACAGTCTGGGATTATGCCGTTTGTTCGTCTTCGACGAAGGGCCCCTCTCTGCGGCCCTCGCTGCCCCCCCCCCCCATTCGTCGCCTCCCCCCCCCCCTTGCGCGTCCTCCGACCTGCCCCCCCTCGCGGAGCCGCCGGAAGGCCTCCGCCGTGGGGACTCCCCGGAGGTGGGCCCGTCGAGGCAGCGGCGGGCTCCGCGCCCCGTCGCGCGGGCTCTCCCCGGGCCCAAGGCCTCCCCGAGCGGGTTCCTCGTGGCCCTCCGGGGCGAGGACAAGCAAGTGGACCCCCTTCGCCTTCGACCCCGCGCTCTCTCCCCCTCCCACCCCGCCCCTCCCCCCCCAATGTCAGAGTTGGCTTCGGCCTCCCGGAGGCCCATGGGGGGTCCATTCTTTCGGCCCCCTCACGCAGGCGCTGCCGAATGCTTGGTTGGGGCCAACTTCAAAACGGGGGGAAGGGTGGGGGGCGCGGTGCCAAGGGTTCCACTCTTGTGTCCCTCTTGGGCCCCTCTCCCCTCCTCCTCCCTGGCTGGTGCTCTGCCGTCCCCCCTCGCGCTGCACCAGCATGCGCTCGTGCACTGGGGCCCGGCGTGGCCCGCGCGCTGGCGCGCTCGAGCGCCCTTCGTTTTTGTTCCTGCTCGCACGTGCTGCCACTTCGGCCGCCGCTGCGCCGTCCTGCTCGCACGTGCTGCCACTTCGGCCGCCGCTGCGCCGTCTATAGGCACGGCTTTCGGCGGCCCCTCGTCGCAACAGCTGGGCCCGCCTCGAAGAACGGGCCAGGATGGACCACTTAGAGGGGTCGGGGCACCTGTTTTTTACATCGGCGTTGCAACAGTTTCGTCATACATTGCAATTGGATCATCATCTTGGGCTGGCAAGCAGGACCCCGCCCAGTGGGATTTCGAATACCGTGTTTTTGTTTACGTCGTGCTTTCAAAATGCCCCGTTTAAAATATCAGCGTCAGGGGGCCGAACGGTCATTCATTGTCCCTGGGTGCGTGGCTGAAGTGGGGATTCGTGGTGGGGATTTTGTCCCTGGGTGCGTGGCTGAAGTGGGGATTCGTGGTGGGGATTCTGATTGTTGCTTTGTTGTTGTTGTTGTTGTTGTTGTTGTTGTTGTTGTTGTTGTTGTTAATGTTCTTGTTGTTGTCGTTGCTGCTGTTGTTGGTGGTGGTGTTGTTCTTGTTCTTGTTGTTGTTGTTGCTTGTTGTTGTTATTTTTTGTCGTCGTCCCACCCGCGATCCACCCGCGACCAACCCGCGACCCATCCCGCGACCCACCCCGCGACCCACCCCGCGACCCACCCCGCGACCCACCCCGCGACCCACCCCGCGACCCACCCGCGACCCACCTTGCAACCCACCCGCGATCCACCGGGCGACCCTCCCGCGACCCACCCGCAACCCACCCGCGACCAACCCCGCGACCCACCCGCGACACACCCCGCGACCCACCCGCGACCCACCAGCGACCCACCCGCGACCCAACAGCGACCCACCCGCGAACCACCCCGCGATCCACCCGCGGTGGCGGCGATCGAACGATAAAACAATACCAAAAACATGAGAGCCAGGAGGCCCAGAGAGAAGAATGCACAAGAGTCGGCAACAAATATGCAAGAGTGGCCCAAAATAGTCGCCCCCCACCTATTTTTCGGCCCCCCCCTTCCGAGGGACGTCTAAACAGAAGCTTTTGGCGCGGAGCGCCATGAGTTTCTGTGGATGGCGATGTGTTCTTCTTCGAGACGGGGCGCCCGAGGAACCAGGAGGCCCGTTTCTTCTTGGGGTTTCTCTGTTTTTGTTTTATCGATTTGTTATGCTGTTTTCTTGATTTCCTTTTTTTTGTTTGTTTTTGATGGGTTTTTTTTTGGGGGGGGGGTTACGCCAGGGCGGGCCGCCGGTGCCTCCACGGGCCCCCCCTCCGGGGGACGTCGTGCGTGGGCGCGGGCGCCCCCGGCACGCGCACGGGCTTCGTCTGGTCGCGGTAGACCAGCGGCCCCTCCGGCGCCCAGGCGCCCGAGAGGCGGGGCACGGCCGCGGAGATGTACCTCTCGAGGACCCTCAGACCCCGGCCCGGACCCCCTCGGGTCATGACCAAAAAATCACGACGGGAGATTTGGCGCTATTTTCGGCCTCTGGGGGCCCTCGCCGGGCCCTGGGACCGGCACAAAGTGCCGCAGGACGAAGAGCCAGTCCCGGGGAATGTGTCGGGACCTGGGGGTCACGTCATAAAAAAGTCAAGACGTCGGGGGTCTGGGGTCGCGTCTTAGCGTCAACATGTGCTTAATTATCCATGGAAGCCCTGCGAGGCGACGCAGCCGATGTAATGTGGGCCAAATGAGGAAACACACACACACACGCACACACACACACGCACACACACACACACACACACGCACACACACACCACACGCACGCACGCACGCACGCACGCACGCACGCACGCACGCACGCACGCACACACACTCGGCTAACACTCGTCCTGAGGATCATCGGACCTCCATGGGCACCCGCTGGCCCGCGAGCTTCCCGGCAGAGAGGTCCGACGCCTCCAGGGCACAAATCTTGGGGGCGGCGGGCCTGCCGGCAGCTTCCGCCTTCCGGGGGCCCTCGCCTGGCCTCGGTGAGCTTCCCCCGAGAGAGGGCCGCACGCGCGCGCACGCACGCACGCACGCACGCACGCACACGCACGCACACAAACACAAACACACACACACATAACTACACACACGCACACACGCACACACACACACATAACTACACACGCACACACACACACACACTCGGCTAACACTCGTCCTGAGGATCATCAAACCTCCATGGGCACCCGCGGGCCCGCAAGCTTCCCGGCAGAGAGGTCCGACGCCTCCAGGACACAAATGTTGGAGGCGGCGGGCCTGCCGGCAGCTTTTTCGCCTTCCGGGGGGCCCTCGCCTGGCCTCGGTGAGCTTCCCCCGAGAGAGGGCCGACGCCCCCCTTAAAAAATGGTTGCGGCGGGATTTTTTTGGCACGGTTCGGCCTGCGGGGGCCCTCGCCGGAGCGGCGGCATGTCTGTCAACTTTTTCAGCCCCATGGGGGCCCTCGCCGGGCCCCGCGAGAGCGGCAAGAGACGGCTCCGGGCGAGAAGCTGGCCCCGGGGTAGAATGGACCTCCTCGGACATCCGGCCGCTCCAATATCACTTGCTCGATGCGCGGGCCCCGGAGGCCGGGCCACCTCCCTGCAGGGCCGGCGTTTCCTCCCCGAGCCGTTTTTTTGACCCGGCCCGGCGAGGGCCCTTTGAGGCCGAAAGCTGCCCAAGTCCCGCCGACTTCCGAACTTTTTGGAGCGTCGGATGATCCGACTCGGATCTCTGCATCCAGGGGCCCACGCGTGGAGGAAACTGGAGCGGCAGGATGTCTGGGACTTGCGCTTGCCGCCGCGGGGCTCCCCCGAATGGGAGCGGTCCGATGTCAGCTTTCCGCTGCGGGGCTCCCCCCCGGGGCGGCGACACGACGCAGAAGCGGCCCTGGGCAGGGGTGAGGATCTCAGCCAAGGGGGCTGCGGAGGGGGCCGAGCCTGCAGGCGCGCGCTGGGGGGAATCCCCAGGGGCCCGCTCCGACGGCCACCCCCCGGCGAAGGGGCAATTTTCTTATGTACGCGTGGCCGGCGGTGGTCTGGGCCCCTTCCCCAGGGACCCGCCTTTTTCACCCCGCGCGGGTCGTCTCGAGTCGACGCCGGCCCCGCGGGGGCCTGCGGAGGACGGCCCCCCGAAGGCCGCATTCGCTGCCAGGAACCAGCCTCCACGGCGCGGGGCTGCCATGGCGGCGCGGGCCCAGGCCCCCGACGTCATGGCTCTTCCATGGCGCGACCCCCAGACGACTACCTACCAGACCACCCCAACCCAACCCGAAGACCCGAATTTCGGGTTGGGGTGGTAAGGGTTCCACACGTGTTTTTTCGATGTTTCCCGACCCCCCCCCACTGGACATCGAGGGTAAATTTGGGCCTTCGGGTTGGGTTGGGGTGGTTTGGTGGGTGGTGACCAGAGCTCCGCACCCACTCCTCTGGACCGGTTTTTCCTCCACAGCCTTCCTGTTGACGGTCCCGAGGCCCGGTATAAGGCCCCCAGAAGATGGAAATGGCGGAAAGCCTCCCGTCGTGAGTCTCTCAAGGCCCGAGGGGGTCCGGGGACGCCCCGTGCGGAAATTCCCGCGGGCCCGCCTTCGTGGGCGCCGGCCGCAACGGAGGGCTCCCGGCAACCGCCCGCCGGCGGGCAAGGGCCCGGGCGGGCCGAGGCTTGCCAGTTGGAGCCTTCCGTGCGGCAACCGCTCCACTGCGCGGGGGCGCCACGGACCCATGGGTCGAATAGGGGCTCAACTACAGAATCGACTTACTCCAAACTTGATTCCCCCGCCGACTATAGTAATACTTATTCTATATATACAAAAATATATCTATGTATACATACATATATTTATATGATGTATATCCATATGTACAGTTCGTTCAAGATGCCCCGATTTGTTGTCCCAGGGCGAGAGTCTTGTCTTACTGTACACGGACGGGGCGGATGAGGTGGACGGAGAGGAATCTGATCAGGTGATGAATGCACGGAGAGGCGGGTGGGTGTCGTCTTGGAGACGGGTGCTGTTGAATATAGGGTGTTGTCTTGGAGACGGGTGCTATTGAATACAGGGTGGTGCGTGCTACGTGGAAGGCGGGCGGGCGGGCGGGCGACGGGCGGGCGGGCGGGCGGGCGGCGGGCGGGCGGGCGGGTCGGGATTTGAATCGGCTCCTTCGGGATTCTGTTTTGCAGTGGGAGCCTGTTGTGTGCTGGGTGTTGTCTTCGAGACGGAGGCTGTTGACTACAAGGCGTTGTCTTGGAGACGGAGGCTGTTGAGTACACGGTGGTGCGTGCTACACGGAAGGCGGGCGGGTCGGCGGAGGGTCTGCGGATCGGACTGTGAATCGACTCCTTGCGGGTTCTCTCTTGCAGCAGGAGCCTGTTGAGCACTGGGTGTTGTCTTGGAGACGGAAGCTGTTGAATACAGGGTGTGTTGTTGGAGACGGAAGCGGTCCCCTCTAGATTCATGGAACTTGAAACGGACGTGTCTTTCGGGGAACCGCACTAAAACGTGGGTATTCAGAAAACTGCGTGGGGGAATCTTGAATGGACTCGACCCATATATATATATATATATATATACTAGAACCACGCGCGCGCTTCGCGCGCGCTTAGGTTCTAGCTAGGAGGCGAGCTTGAGTCAACGAAAGTCGCAGGGAAGGGGGCAGGGGGAAGAAGGCCAGAGAGCGCTGAAGGATACAAATACTGGAACCCTCTTGTGATTTTGTGGGGGGCCTCGTCCGGCCGCTCGCTGGGAGTTTGACGTAGCTTCTCGGGAGCCTCTGAACCTGTCGGGGGCCTCCTGGAAGCAGGTTCGAAGCATTTTGGGGGCCGATTTGGGGCTTCTCGGGGCCTCCTTTGGGCCTCTTGGGGGTCTCCTGGGGCCTCTTGAGGGGCCTCCTTGGGGCCTCCTGGCGGCCTCTTGGGGCGGAAGGCTCGAGCTTGCGGTTCGTGGTCCCCCTCTGGGCCCCCTCTTGGGCCCGTCTTGGGGCCCTCTTGGGCCATCTTGGGCGCCTCTTGGGCCGTCTTGGGGCCCTCTTGGGCTGTCCTGGGGCCCTCTTGGAAGCTTCTTGGGCCGTCTTGGGGCGGTCTTGGGCGCCTCTTGGGCCGTCTTGGACGCGGTGAAAGCCCAAGAGGCGAACATGCGAAAAATATACGTTTTCCCATAGGAATGGCACGATTTTTGCTTCTTGGGCCTCTCTTGGGCTGCCTCCGGAGCGTCTTGGAGGCTTCTGGGACCTTCTTGGTGTCATGACAGGCGTCTTGGAAGGCATCTGGAGCCATCGGAGCGCGTTCCGAAGCCGCCTGCGAACGATCTTGGACGGCGTCCGGCGGTCCGACGAGCCTCCGGGCCCCCCGGGGCCCACATTTGTGGTCGAGGTCCCGGCCCCGGGCCCCCGGACCCGGTGCGCCGTTAGATGTGTATATATATATATATATATATATATATATATAGATGTGTACACATGAATCTAAACCCACACACATGATATAATTGCGTATGCTTATAAGAAGCACGTGCAATGCTTGTAGATCTACGGGACATTCTGCGTGTCGTTTCGTAGAGTCGGCGGGGAAATCAGGTATGGGGTAACTCAATTCTGCAATCGACGCCCTAGGCCCCATGGTCGGGGGTTGCTGGCGGCACCCCTGACCCCAGGTGCCCCCAGCTGTCCGCTCCATTCTGGAGCCCATGAGGCCTTCTGGGCCTCCTGAGGGGTGCTTTGGAGGCCGCGGGGGCCTCCGTGGAACTCCTGGGGGCACCTTGGGCCAGGGGCACTTCTAGCAACACCCGAGAGGATGACGAGGAGGAGGAGGAGGAGGAGGAGGAGGAGGAGGAGGAGGAGGAGGAGGAGGAGGAGGAGCAGGAGGAGGAGGAGGAGGAGGAGGAGGAGCAGGAGGAGCAGGAGGCGGAGGAGGAGGAGGAGGAGGAGGACAGGGAGGAGGCGCCGACGTGGGGGCCAAGAGTCGGCCCTCGGCACGTCCCGGCGAGCGCCTTCTGACCAGACCATCTCGAGGCGGACCCCGCTGTGGCGACGGGCAGCCCCCGAGGGGCCCAGGAACGGCGGGCAGAAACGCTCGCAAAAACCTTCGAAAGCCGAGGCCTCGAAGGTCGAAGGGCGCATGCACCGGCACTCCAGCGACGGCCAGCGCGCCGTCGCGGGCAAGAGCGTCTCGCGGCGGACCCAGCCGTGGCGGACCCAGGTGCCGAGAGCGAAGGGCACCTCGGAGCTCGAAGTCCGAGGTCCGAACCTCGAAGCGCTCTCGCAAAAACCGTCGAAACTCGAAGTTCCATGGGCGCACGACGGCCAGCGCGCCGTCGCGGGCCAGACTACCGCGGGGCGGACCCAGCCGTGGCGGACCCGTGGGCCCAGAGAGAAGGGCACCTCGAACCTCGAAGCCTCGAAGTCCGCACCTCGAAATGCTCGCAAAAACCTTCGCAC